GATGTACGGTCGAGATCCTGTTTTTAATATTGATCTACTCATTCGCCACGATAATGAGCGTCATTTTCCCTCCTCTGAGGAAGCCAGCTTGTACGTCCAAAACATGGTCTGTACCCTCCATGCGGCTTGGAGATCTGCATCCCTTTTTAACGATCGTCAACGACAAAAGTTCAAACGTCAACACGACCAGTCGCCTTTGAACCCTTTATCCGTTACAGTCGGTGACCGTGTTTTCCTCGCCAACTTAGCACCTTCGGTGGGATTGTCACGTAAACTTAGCTACCCTTGGCTTGGCCAATTCCGGGTAATCGAGGTAGATCCCCCTCACCTAACCATCGTGAGTATCTCAGCCCCTCAATCAACTCCTAAGCGTGTTCACATGAATCAGGTCAAATTGTGTCACTCACTGACGGGTCCCGTATTCACCACACCATGGACTCCAGAGGTAGAACAGTTGGCCCTCTCGGCTTCGGGTGCTACAGATGTTTCCATGGTGGGCTACCAACATACAGCAACCCCGCCAACCCCACCACAGGTTTCACCCCCTACCCACCCTTACAACACTCGCTTTAGATCTAGACGGACGTCTCTATAAATGGTCAATTTACTTCTGCAGGCATACATGTCGTCACTGTATTTCTAATAGCGGCCCCGGACTGCCTTTATGCAACCCCTTATGTTAGCTCACGTTACTCTTCCTGAACTTCAATAATTCACTTCGTACATCGCTTACCGCGTCACGTACTCATTTCTTATTCACCACTTTATCATTTACGTTTCAGAAAACTTGAGTAGGCCCGAATATTCTTTCTAGCGNNNNTCCGGACCCCGATGGTCCTTCCAGGTATTCCGTGGGTCCTCCCACAGGTCGCGTAGCGGCCGTTACAAGGAATTATTCATCTGCCTGCATGTCAGCAGATGCCCATTTTTCTTTAAATTCTTTTTCTTCTTCTTCTACCGAAAGTCCAATGGACACTCCAGGAACTACTGCCCCCAGCGACTCAGCCACTGAAGGTGACTCGAATGCGCCAACCTCCTCTGTTTCAGCCTCAACCGCCAGCGACGTACTTCCTCCTCTTTCGCCTAGAGGCGCCCCCGTCGTTCGCGTAACTGCATCCATGCGTCGGTTATCGGTATCTAACTCGCCTCAGCCTCCAACCCGATCTTCGAGGTCCGTCTCACCCTCAGCCCCGCCAGCGAAGTCGCAACGCTCAGCCTCCGGTCGTCGCAGACCTTCAAACGCACAACCTTCTCACCCAACATCTTCTCAGAATCGTCCTGAGGCTTCGTCAACAAATACGCAGGCTGTTCCACGTAGATCTCAGCCCCGATCCTCGGGCCGCGGCGCCTCCTCCTCCAGGGCCACTGCTGGTCGTGACCTCAGAGCTGCTCGGCAATACCACGTCGGCCCGCTGCCCCAAGTCGATGTTGGTCAACTTCCCCAGAAAACCCCCCAGGGTTTCTCCCATTACCTTATTCGTCGCCATCCATGGGCCTACCTCGTTAACCCGCGCCCTATCGACATGCTTTGGGAAAACCTTCCAGTTGTGACCACCACTTTGAGAACGGAAGTCTACCGACACTTACCCGATAGCGGCTACTTATCTCTACGCTTCAATAAGTCTCTCTTCCCTCAAATCGTCGTACGGACGCCACCTCGTCTGCCGTCAGAGTTTCCATTCATTGAGCTCCAGTCCCTTGAGGATACGATCGCCTTCCGCGAGCGTTCTCAACGCGTCCTCGAGAACGTGTTAGCGGGTACCTACATGGATACCGACATCAGCGATTTGCCACAAACTTCGTCCGTTAAGCATCCCTACATAACCGCACCGCCGTTTCGGAAAGGTTATCGTCCAGTACTATATCAAGTAGTGTCCACTGCATGGGGTACCGGCGTTATACTCGAGGCAAAAGATTTCTTCACGGTAGGTCCCGATAGACGTGACCTACACTGCATTGTGCTAGACACGTTCGCGGTTGAAATAGTACGACACCGTCGCGGCTTCAACAAATCGCTGGTCTCAGTTAAAGATTTCGTTTGGGTTTACGATGTCAAACCCACGCGTCAAGCTCTAAAAGAACCCCTCAAGTCTCTGGAAGAATCACGCGTGCCTCGGACCACCATCGTTAATACAACTTCAGTGTTCTTCTTCAGAGCCTCTTATTTCGCCTTCGTTAGACCCAAGGATCACGAGTCTCCGATTTACGGTATGATCCTCAACCTGATTTCACGCCATAGATCTGTCGTCCGTGCCCGCGCAGCCTTCGAAGGTTGCCCCGACGCAGTCACGTTTACCTCCGCTATCACATCGTTTCCTCTTAGGCGTCTGTCGCAATATGACATCGTTTCGGCCCGCTCTCGCGTTAACGTTTCTTCAGCGATGCGTTTTTCGGAGCCACCCGCTTCGCTAGAGGCTCGAGAACACCTGGCCCTTCTCATCCGTCGCTTTCTACCTATGCACCCTGATGAGGGTATGCTTCCTCTCGAAGTTTTCAGAATTACCGAAGAAGAACGCGCCTTTTTTGAAGATCGCCTGGGACCATTTAACAACTACGTCAACGACCCTAACTCCTCGAAAGCTAAAGTCGCCAAAATCTGTAGCGCAGCTTGTTCGGCACTAGTCGCCGTTAATAATGCCGATGACGATCGCCGCTCTCACTTGACCGACGCCACAACCGTCTGGCCGCGCTGGTTCCCTACACGCATTCGCTTCCACGTCCACGACATGCCTTCAGAAGCAGGATGGAGTCCTGGCCGTCATGCAGTAGTTTGGGTAGTGGGTTCGAATAACCTAATACAGGTCAAAGTCGTACACGTCGAGCCCGATTCCCCTGCCCGCCGACTCGACGTCACCGCGGAAGCCTTCCGCTGGTCGAACCGGGCTCTACAGCGTGCGTTTACCGCTCACGGAATCGATATCGGCATCGGCCACACCGCTAGCATTTGCGTACGTCTGGTTAAAACTTCGGCCGCCTCAGATCCAGTATATGAACTCGTGTCCCGTTCCTCTATGTTTGAGAATCTGCAAACAGACTCGATCGGTCACCAAGTGATCGACCTCGTCTTCGGCCGTCCTCGACCGAACGCAGACCAACCCCTGCATCTACGAGACCCTCCCAATCTTCCACAGGTAGATTGGACTTTCTCGGTCCAGCAACAAATGATAGTCCTCACCCCGGACCAGAAGGAGGCTGTACGCCTCGGTTGTTCCAACGAGCCCATAGTCGGTATACAGGCAGCCTTCGGCACAGGCAAGACTCTCATAGGCGCCATTATTGCTGCCTTGTCCTCTGACACCCCCAACACCACCGTTATTTTCACGACGTCAACGAACGCGGCGGTAGCCCAGTTCACCGACACGTTACTCTCTCTAAATGACTTTCCTCATCTACGAGTTGTTCGTCACATTTCAGATTCAGCCGCAGCCGACAACCGTACTCCTACGGACGCC